TCCCCTGAGTAAATAAACCAATCCCCTGCATCACCTACCATTCCCTGAGTTATATATCATTCCCTCCATCACCTACCATTCCCCTCAGTTATATACTATTCCCTCCATCACCTACCATTCCCCTGCATCACCTACCATTTCCCTGAGTTGTATACCATTCCCTCCAATGCCTACCATTTCCCTGCATCACCTACCATTTCCCTGAGTTATATACCATTCCCACCATCACCTACTATTCCCCTGCATCACCTTTTAAAGTGAGGAAATTGAACTGTCCTAAGTCTACAGTGCGAAATATTAAGAGGAACTTTGAGGAGACCAAGAAGAGTATTGTGCTGGCTAAAAATATTTCGGTAGTGATGGAAATGCGAGGCGAGCTATGAATGATAAAGGCGATAGAAACAGGTTGTTAGTGATAACAGAGCATTTTCTTGTGAAATGGTTAGCTTGTAGAATGAAAGACAGTGCAAGTGTTAGCGGCCCTCAGATACGGAACAATCATCACACCAAGCACCTCAAAAACTAAGTGTTATATTACTCAAACTCTTTATTTTGATGATTGAATAGCAATTCTTTATATTTCAGCTAACAAAAAGTGTTAGGAGGGCTTCAAGGGGAAAAAATGGGTGAAATTCTTGTGGCAGCGGCACCAATAAACCCTTTTTACATGTATTTTAATGTCACACAAATAACGTTTTCGCTAATAACGGTGTTTTTCAGGCACCTATTAAACGTTATTGGTGAGAGCCTACTGTAGTGTAGTACTGTACATTTTAGTAATGTTAAGTTTTTCAACTGTATTTTTGGGTAGATTTACATAAATTTCTTCATTTATTTTCATTCATTTACATGCACACACCATACTAAAAGAAATGTAAAAGAAATAAATGACCTAAGTGCAAACCTGTACAGTACATGTACTAAATGATTAAGGTACTAAAATTGTTATGTCTAGTGCAAATTACAGCTTGTATATATTCAAATTAATCACTATCTTACAAGAATCTCAGCAACGTAAATTATATTCTCCCAGGTCATTTCACTGGCATTTTAAAATGAGAGAAGCTTAGTCACTTAAGGACTGTTAAATAAACACACATGAGACCTTCGGTTCCAACTGTCAAACATATCACCTCACCTCCTGCTAGCTAGCTAGCTGCTCACTCACTCACTCCCTCTCCCCCAGCCAGGGTTTTAGGCTTATAGTTTTTATCTTATAAAATATCTCAGACTAAAGTTAGAATATAATTTGCATTGCTGGAATCCTTGCAAGACAGCCAATAATTTTAATATAAACGTCATATATTTTGTACGTGATAAAAATTAATCACCTGTATCACATTACAGTAGTGATTTAAGAGAAAGGGTGTATATGTACTTACAGTATACTGTATATATATATATATATATATAGTGATTTAAGGGTGATTTAGGGGAATTTTAAGTGTGTTTCTGATTTTATGCATTTTGGGCTTTACTGTGTACTGTATGTACTTTTCTGTGAGCTGGAACCAATTACCCAATAACCCATTGAAACAATGGATTCGGTTAACGAAATTTTCGGTTAACCAATGACTCTGTGGAATGAATTGTATTCGTTAACCGAGGGACCACTGAATATATATACATACAGTGGTCCCTCGGTTAACGAACGCCTCGGTTAACAAAATTTCTGTGAACGAATTACCTTCCATAAGAATATTCAATTCGGTTAACGAACAAAAATTCGGTTAACGAAATTCTTACGAAAATGTTTCAACATGCTTTGGCTTGCTCACCAGCCGGAAAATTAGTCCAATACAGAAATCGGTTCTAGAGCTTACATTCGTTAAAATTGGAATATATATCAAGAAGGTTGTACTATTCAATAATTTTCCAAGTTTTATATTAAATTTGTTAGTCCTTTTAACACTTATTTAACATAATTGCAGTACAGGGAACTAGTTTTTGGTGCGCCCAACAGCCACTTCACTCACCCACCAAGGCCTCAGTTTGTATCTCTGTTCAGTGGAGGAAACATCTTGCTTGTGGGTCTCTTGAACACAGAGTATTTTTACGTTTTTACAGTACAATTATTGGTCATTCTGAAATTTATTTAACATATTGACAATATATAGTGCAGTGCAGTGTTGATTTAAAGAAAATAATCTTGAATTACACCTAGTGAACTTAAAAATTTTTGAGTGAAATGATGGCACCAAGCATGAGGTGATTTCTCTTCCACCCCAACTTCCTTCTCTTCTCCCTTCTCCTCCATCCCCACTTCTAATTCCCATCATCATCATCAACCAGGAGCCTTCTACATACACACCTCAAAGTAAGTGTACTTTACTTCATTTATTTTTACTTTTTATGTAATTTTCGGTGAGCTGGAACCAATTACCCAAAATCCCATTGAAACAATGGTTTCGGTTAACGAAATTTTCGGTTAACGAACGACCTTCTGGAACGAATTGTGTTCGTTAACCGAGGAACCAGTGCGTGTGTGCATGCGTGTGTGCGTGCGTGTGCATGTGTGTGTGTGTACAGGTGCTCCCTGACTTACGACGGGGTTAGGGACCGACATCCAGGTCATAAGTCGAAATGGTCGGAAGTCGGAAATGCTTGAATAACACACAGAAAATAAAAAATGGGTGTCTCTTTTTCTTCTCAGCACCACAAAACACTCACTTTTAGGCTTGCCAGCCATTTTAAAGTGATTTACAGATAAAAATTTTGTCTGTGTACTGACTTTGGGACCCGAAAATACGTAATTTGACCAAATTTTGGTACGACTGAGGCAGGTTGTAAGTGCTGGTGGACGTAAGTCGAGTCAGTCGGTCGGTCGGTCGGTCGCACGCACGCACACAGAGTGGTCCCTCGGTTAACAAACACAATTCGTTCCAGAAGGTTGTTTGTTAACCGAAACCAATGTTTCAATGGGATTTTGGGTAAATGGTTCCAGCTCACCGAAAATTACATACAAAGTAAAAATAAATGCACAGTGGTCCCTCGATTAACGAACAAAATTGGTTCCACAGAGTCGGTTGTTAACCAAAAATTTCGTTAACTGAATCTATTATTTTAATGGGATATTGGGTAATTGGTTCCAACTCACAGAAAAAGTATACATACAAAGTACTGTAAACTGGTAATAGAATTAACAAAACATTAAATATAAACTAAATACAGTACTGTACTGTACAGTATACTGTACAATAATAAATAAAAAAAAATAGCATACTGTATTTTAATTTACTTTGAGGTGTGTGTCATATTCCCGGCAGCTTTGTTTACATATCAAACAGCCGATTGTAGAGGCAGTCGATGATGACATGCCATATTCTTTACAGAGTGCATTGCTTCTAATGCTTTCTTTATGTTTCATAATAATTTCTGCACTGTACATTATCAATATGTTTACTAAATTTCAGAATGACCAATAATTTTAATGTATAAATTAAAAAATATTCAAGAGACCAACAAACTCGATGTTCACTCCACTGTAAACAAAGTTAAACTGAGAAGCGTTGGTGGGTGATTTGATCAGCTGAAGGGCACACAAAAATATATTATCAATACTGTATGTTAACTAAATTTCAGAATGACCAATAATTTAAATATAAAAAATACAAAAATATTCAAGAGCACAACTTTCTTGATATTTACTCCACTGGAAACAAATGTAAACATAGAACCAATTACTGTATTGGCGGACTAGCCGATCAGCTGATGCGCACAACAAAGCACGTTTCTCGTAAGACTGTCAATCGAAGTTTTGTTCGTTAATGGAACTGAAAATCCTTAAGGGAGCTAATTCATTAACCAAAATTTCGTTAATTGAGGGACCACTGTATATAGATATACAGTACATACAGGTATGTACTGTACATATACATATACAGTAATAAGAAACATTATGGTTGTCCCTCATGTAACGAGGATGGCCGGCCACCTAGACGTGAATTTGTTTAAGGTGTAGAAGCTGTCGCCAGCACAACAACTAGACCCTAAGTTGACGAGTTGCATGATCCAGTGTCAAGGAAAAATCCGAGAAGACCGGACAACTCACCAACTGCACTGGCTAACCATTACCCCGTACCATGATCTGCAAATCGATTAACATCCAGGTTCACAATTTCTGCTGGGTAGAAAGAGGCAAATGTCTACATATATGTATACTGTACACACACACACACACACACACACACACTTTGAGCGAGTCCCATCCCTGTGTTAAGCGATACCGGGTAGTAAAAAAACAAGCGTTTGGGCAAATCCACATTGAACAAACCCGCATTAAGCGAGGGGCCAATGCACTTTCTTACTATGTGGATATTCTTTGAGAGACCAATATGATTGTAAAGAATAATCTAATTATAAAACATATTTGTATTTGTTTTTCTAGATCATAGTCATATATTGGAGCCTGAGATTTCATTTCCTGGACTTATAGATTATAGAGCTGCCTAATCCTGATGTAGATTATGAAATCAATTGCACCAAAATTTTCTTATGCTGCAATCCCTAAAACTCAATGCAAAACAACACCATAACATGAATCATGTATATAAAAAATTTATCAAATTAGTTTGTATACTATGCACATCCTGTACTGAAAGAATGATCACAAACAAAACAAAAAATATATACTCCAAAAATGACCATTAAGGGACTAAATTACCACAAAAGTATACAGCACACTAACTAATGCATTTAATGAAAACAAGTTACTGTATAACAATGTATCTGCTTCAGCTTGGAGAATATAAATGAAGTGAATCAGAAACCAAAAACTAACAATGGAAGATGTAGATAAACATACAGTACTGTATATAAATAAATGGGATAAACATGGAAAATCCCCTAGCTGGGGATCGATAATAAAATGCAGATAAAGAAAGGAATATTCTTTGATTTCTCTTTATAAATATTTAATTTTCATAAAGTTGCCTACGACTACTTTATTATTTTGTGTATTATTGGTACTGTATTGTGTGAAAACTACAATGGTACCTTACCTTACTGTTTTTTCTGAAGCCATATGTCCACATGGATTGAAACAGAAAGTTGGGGGACCACTGTCAACATAAAATGCTGGCTCAATACCCATACAAAGCTTAACTACAGGCCCAACCTGTAAAAGAGAAATGACTAGTTAAAAACAGATAATTTGTAAAAATACTGCACTCAACATATCTATCAGTCCTATTCATTCTTTTACAATCTAACACATGGCAACCCATTCAATCAGGAGAATAAATTATATTTTTTACTTTTACAAAACTGATAAATACAAATTACATATTTTAACTTTAATTATGATAAATACCAATTACTCCTTTCTAACCTTTAAAGAAAGATTACTACAAATAACAACTTTGTAACTATTTACGTTTGATAAATACCGATCATTCTATCATACAATGCCATAATTATTCAATCAAAGAAAGTCCTATAAGTAGGGCAGTCAGCATCACCTGTATCTATATACAGTAGAATTCCAGTTATCTGGTGCCTATGGATTTTGAGAGGTGCAGGATAAAGAGATTTTCTGGTTAGTTCAACCTCATTCTTAGGATCCCTCAATAAAACCTACAATGCACAGTACTACAGGATGACCTCACAACTTTGTGTTTCAAAAGTCCATTTTCCACAAATCCGTGAATTTTCATGAGCATTCTCCAATTACAGTACCATGTTTTTCAGTTGTCTGTGCTCGATTGAGAAAAAAATAAATTTTGCTTGAAATTTAAATGCTCATGAAAATGAACGGATTTGCAGAAAACAGATTTCTTTTGCGCTTATTCCACTCTATATAAATGTGGCTTACAAATAATGAAAATACAATGAAAAACTATAAAAAAATTTAAATGAAGAGCATATACAATGTGGGTAATGAACATGAGTGGAAGCGTTGGGCTGTAACTGCATTGCCGACTCACCAACTCAGCCACCTCTTATATTGTTAAATGTATTGAAACTATAAAAGTTGTGGAAAAATCACTCCAGTATACCCTTGTTATTTGTGGGGGTTAGGTTCCAATGAATGGCATGAAAAGGCAAAACCGTGAATAGCAACTTATACTACCTTAATGCACTATTGTATACCTATACCAAACAACTGACCAGCCGTGGCAGCACTCGCCCCCTTTTAACTTGCCTAATAATAAAGCTTTCTTTGTCAGGGTCATCAATAACTTCTGCCTTTTACATTTCACTCCACTAGCATTACTAGCACTGACACTAGGCAGTCTTTTAGGAGCCATTTCACACAGAAACACTAAAGTTTTGAAATTACAACACGAGATGCTGTGTGGGGTGACACGTTATGCTGCAGAAAAAGGCTTGTAAGCTAGCCACCATAGCCACCATCTGCTTACCTGCGAATCGCAAGCCCGCGAATGGCAAAGGTCTACTATACAATACCCTAATGTGACTTATAAATAAAGAAACTATAAAATCAGAAAAATTAAGTGAATGGGTGTGTATGTGTGGGAAGTGAACATGTGTGGAGGCAGTGGGCTGTAACTGTGTTGCCACGCTCCCTCCCCCATATGTCTGCGAGTCAGTCGGTTGACAGCCTGGCATAAGTGTGTTGCATCACCCAGAGGTTGGACCGAGTGTGGAAGGAGCTATTTTTTTACATAAAATATGTGCTATTGTATTTTATGATATGCTATGAATCAATTTGATAGTTTTCGTAGCAATAAATACGGCATCTCATGCCCATTGCGCAGGGTATTCAAACTTTCAATTCTAGCTGATTTTGGAGAAACTCTTCTTACAGTAAACCCTTGCACTTCCAGACCTCACATTTGGATTTTGGTTCGTCAGGACAATGTCTGGATGTGGCAAATTCCTATCCGGTCTATCTCTCTCGGTCTGAATGCCATGTTTACTCCCCTGCTGTTAAAATGGACCCAGTCCGCATCTCCCACCACTAGTCACAGTGAGCGTCCCTTCTCAGTCTCGCTTGTAGTCTCAGTGCGTACACACCATCTCGCTACCTCTCGATCGCACTCTTTTGTTGTTCCTTGTGTATTTTGTGCCTTGTGACTGTTTTAGTGCCTGATTTCTTGTGCCTTGTGACTGTTCTGTAGTGATGGCATCCAAAAGGAAGTGCACGCAGCTTACTGTAACTCAGAAGCCGAGTTGTTTCAGTAGTTAAGAAGTGGTTGGTCTGTAGCGAGATGCTGTAGCAATTATGGTGTCGCTAAGCAAACAGTATCTGATATATGAAAAGCTAAGGGTTCCCTGCAGTAACTTGCAATGAAATATAGTCCTGATTTTTCGACCTTTAAGACGACTGTTGGAGAACACAAGCTGTATTAAAATTCAAAGGAGGTAAGTTAAAATAATACTGTATTGATATACAGTCATCCCTTGGTTATCACGCCTAATTGGGGCTGCGCCGAGTGCTTGATAACGAAAAACGCGATAACAAAAGTACAGAACCTATGGGATTTATTCTAATTGGTTCCAGGCACCCAAGACCCAACCCCCCAAGTTTCCCATTTTACGACCATTTAGACCCACTAAATATATATATATACAGTATTACCCTGCTTTACACGGTTTCACTTTCCGCGATTTCTCATTTCTCATTTACGCTTTACATGGTTTCACTTTCCGCGATTTCTCATTTACACAGTACCTTGCCAGAACCAGACTTTCACTTTCCGCGGTGCATCTACTCATATACGCGGTGAAGTATAATTTTTTTTTTTTTTATTTAGCTCATAAAATTCATACAAATTACTCGGCCAGAATATAATTTACATTGCTGGAATCCTTACAATATGATGATCATTTTGAATATAAACATCATGGATTTTGCATTAGACATACAAATTTTAGATCTAAAGTAATAATTTGGTTTACACAAAGCAAATATTTTATCCTTTGTGCAGAATATATGAAGTTTACATTCAAAATATTCCCTGACCTGCAAGGAATCCAGAAATGTCAATTATACTATCCTAACTTTAGTCTGAGTTATTATTTATTACTAAAAATGTAAATATACTATTTTCTCCCAATCGCTTCTCTGGTAGGGAGGGAGGGACCGACCCAGCTAGGGCGGAGTATTTTGATTGACAGATAGTGTCCTTGAAGAATATTTCTTTGTTTATTTACTGAAGATATATGTTTTAGCTCATAAAATTCATACAAATTACCCAGCCAGAATATAATTTACATTGCTGGAATTCTTACAATATGATGATCATTTTGAATATAAACATCATGGATTTTGCATTAGACATACAAATTTTAGATCTAAAGTAATAATTTGGTTTACACAAAGCAAATATTTTATCTTTTGTGCAAAATATATGAAGTTTACATTAAAATATTCCCTGACCTGCAAGGAATCCAGAAATGTCAATTATATTATCCTAACTTTAGTCTGAGGTATTATTTATTACTAAACGTTAAAATCTAGAGTTTTCACCCAAACATTAATCAGAGAGGTAGGAGCTAGTGAGCTGGGAAGAGGGGGAGGGGGGATTTGAGTCCATTATTTGAATGGACATTAACCTGGCGACTGTATTTCTCTTAAATATTAATTGTCTGAGCATACCATCATAAAATTTAGATGTTATTTTTACTACAACATAGGTATTGTGTCAGAAAAAGTGGAGTTTGGGGGTCGGGTCAGTCTCTATTGGAATTAATCCCATATGTTCTGTTGTTCACTTTATGTGGTTTTCACTTTCCGCGGTACCCTGTGGGTTCAATTGACCGCGTAAATCAGGGTACTACTGTATATAATGTTATGGTAAATTTCAAAAACACACATAGGCATGGCTAGGTTTATTACAAAGTGATGAAAAGGCTACGCTCAATACTGTAGTCCACAAAACATGTAGCTATGCTTTCTTTATTTGAGTCCCCCCGTCATAGGAGTCTGTTTTCTCTCGCTTCAGGACGCCTGAGTCCTCCATTTTCTCCCAATCTTAGAGTGCACCCGAGACTTCGTTATTCCTTAGTAATGACAGAATTTGAAATTGCAACCCCAATTGCAACTGGGGTTGCAATTGTTGAAGCAACTAGTTATGTTTGATTACAGCAAATGTGTTATTGTCAATTTGTAGGTGAAAGATTTTATCCTCAATAGATGTAGGTGAAGCAAGGGGGTAACATTACACCTGGAGGCAAATGAGTGATAACCAAATTCTCGGCCTGAAAAATGCGCTATAACGGCAGGTGTGCAGATTTCGATAGAGGCGTGATAACGAAAATCGTGATAACCAAGTGCGCTATAACCAAGGGATGACAGTACAGAAATTACAGCAATACTGTCTATAGAGTAATAAACTATTATTATTATTGTTGGTGTTATTACTGACTTATCATTAGTTTATTATTGTTCAATACCATTACAGGTTGACAATCCCTTATTCGAAATCCTTGGGGCCAGATGTGTTTCGGATTTCGGAATTTTTTGGATTTCAGAATGGTTAGGTTAGGTTTTTTTCTTTTTTTTTTACAGGGAACAGCCCACCCGGGCACAAGTCACCGACCCACATTGGGGCCTGGGGGGCGAAAATGTAGTAGTAATAATAATAATAATAATAATAATAATAATAATAATAATAATAATAATAATAATAATAATAATAATAATAATAATAATAATAATAATACAGTAATAATAATAATAATAATAATAATAATAATTCATAGGTCTAGGTCATGTGACCTGTGCCCGGGTGGGCTAAGCCCTGTAAAAAACAAAAAAAACACATTAGAGTATTTTAATAATTACTCCTTTAATCTGTAATAAAGAAAACTTTTACTATAGCGCGTATTTTCCCAGCTGAGAAAAGATGCCCCGCCCCCTCCCCAAGAGTTACAGCTGATTGGCTGTTACAAATCTATCCGATTTTGTCCTGAAGTAATGATGTACAGTATATTTCTAAATGAATTTATTCATAATAGTTGGGATGACCGTTTCTGACGAGAAAGATATTTAGCTAAATTATATAAAGATACATACATTTATCATTTCAAACATAAGCACGTAGGAAGTTTATCAGAAGTATTATACATGAATTAACTGTTAAACTCTGGTACCAAATTCACGCTTTCGTAGGACGCATTTAATATGCACTTATTTTTACCCACAATAAGGCATACTAAGACAAATTACGTATCAGTAATGGTTAGGTTATGTTAGGTTAGTTTTTTTTTTTTTTTTTTTTTACAGGGATTAGCCCACCCGGCAGAAGCGGGAAATATGACTGTTTACAACTTCATATTTTTCCTGCCTCTGCTAACGGTCGTGTGATATTTCAATGTGATTTAGTCTTTATTTTGCTAAGTGAGCAAATTACAGAAGTATACAGTACATAAATGCTGCACTGTCTACTGTTTATGTAGCATTTCCCCTCCATCACCTGTGTCACCTACCATTCCCCTGCATCACCTACCATTCCCCTGAGTTACACACCATGCCTCTCATCTACTACAATGCTTTATTTTTCACCTACAGTGCTGGTAGTTGCTACTTTTTGAAAATTAGTAATTACATGTATACATGAATATGGGCCAATAATTAATTTTTTATTGATAATTGATAATTCAGAATTTGGGATAATTCGGCAAGGCCAGAGCCCCATTCGTGCCGAGTTATCAAGATTTTACTAATAATACACTGTATAAACATAACAAGAAATTAAATATTGTAGACTTGTAATAAACAGAAGCTTAAGGTGTTTAAACATTATTGTCACCTGGAAAGAGGTTAGGGTGTTTTAACATTATTGTCACCTTAAGACACATGGGACAGGTGTGGGAGTTGGAGTCCTTTTCGTGGCCCCACTCGTGTAGCCCTTGTACATGACCACAATTAAGGTACACTACAGGTTGTTTTTCTGTGGCTGTTAGTGTAGCTTTACGAGGTATAACAAGAGTGTTGAGACCCACAGGACACTGCGGCCGACCTGCATTAAGTTCATCCACCATCTGTTCCAGGTGACGCTTAGTCTGAAAAAATTAATACAAAAATTAAAAGATTAAATGCTACTAAGAGAACAATGCTTGTAAGATAACCTAGTTTTGTGAGTACATATGCCCTGGTGGAGGCATGAAGTGTGATCAAGTAATGTTGGGGGGGGCTTCACTATGGGGATACCACCTTTAATATTAAATTTGACTAATGCCAACAATTTTACCTAGCACAGAGGGGACCCCATACACAAGTGGTTAGTAGACTACAGTGATATCTCCATTAGCTGGAACAATTGGTGCAGAGCACTTCTGGGAATGAGAGATTTTCGGGTAAAGAGACAACTCTCTCTCAAACCCGGAAAAAAAAAACCCGGAAAAAAAAAACCCGGAAAATTTTTCTTGGAATTTCCGGAAAATGCACCCAATTCATCTCTCAAACCCGGAGAAAAACTCTCCCTATCCCTGGATTTTTATGGGTATTGGGAAAATTTTCTTTGAATTTTTTGAAAAATGAGCCCTTCAGAAAATTTTTCCCAAAGCTGTAATTTTCCGGAAAATTCCAGCTTTGGGAAAGATTTTCCAAAACAATTTCAATTCCAGTTATTGGAGAGTTTTGGGTTTGAGGGATTCTGGCTAATGGAGCTATTACTGTATTTCCCTTAAACTCTTCATTATGGGGATATCACTTTCAATGTTTTATTTGGCTAATGCTAGAATTTTTATTTAGCATAGAGGGGACCCCATACACAAGTGGTTAAGCCACTAGATGAAGTCTAGTGGTATTGGTAGAGGAGTGATAAGTAGTGAAGGTGGTTAGTGGTACATGTTGTCGTGGTGCAGATAGTTGGGGTTACATTTGGTTGGAGGGTCAAATGGTTGGCAGTGCAGGTGGTGGAAGGTAGTGTAAATGGTTGGTGGTGCAAATAGTTGATGGTATGGAACTATAGATGGCTGGTGGTGCTGATGGTTGGCAGTGCAAATGGGTGTTAATGCAGTTAACTGGTGATGCAAATAGGTGGTAGTACAAATGGTTGATGGTGGAGAGGGTTAGCGGTGTGATGGAAACGGTTGGTGTCACAAAGGTTGGTGGAGATTGTGTAAATGGGTGGTTGTGCACATAGGAAATTACCATACATATGCACCATGATTAACAGCAATCATCTGATTTTTTAATTAAAAAAATATCAAAAACTCTTATTTATTTTATTTAAATCAGATTTTTGTTTTAATAATTTTTTTTTATTTGAGTTTGTATTAACCAGAATCCCCCAAAAACATATTACTGCACCATGATAGTCACCATCCAGCTCAAAATTAGTACATTATATCATCAAAGATGAGTATTGCATCATCCACTGCCAACCTGTTACATCATGCTAAGATCTGTGCCAGTGTGCAGTAGTAGTCTTTAGTCACTGGCCCACAGCTAAGCAGTCACAAAGAAAAGATGTCGTTGAGTACAAGACTGACCCCTTGTGGTCGAAAAAGTGACCCAGTGTGGCAGTATTTTGATAAAATACCTTCAAAACCTGGCAAAGGATGTAGAGCCAAGTGCAAGTAATGTCAATTGGAGTTACAGGGTCTTGTTGTAAGACTAAAAAAAATCACACAGAAATGCCAGCAGGGCCAGCTTCAAGTGCAATTCTCAAAAGAGGAAATAAAAGATGATCCGGGTAAATATCTTTGCAAATAACGATTTAGAACATTCATTTACTGAACAGTAGAACATATTATTGGTATAAAGTTTGTCTTTGGAATTTGCTGTGGTTGGTAATGCTGTACCTGTATCATATTTTCATTTATAAATTATGTTTCCAGCTTTTTACTGTAGCCTATACTTTATTAATGCAGATACAGTACAGTATATACAGTATTAGATGTTTGTTTAATACAGCCTAATAAAGATAAAGTGTAAATACAGAAAAAATTACTTTCTTAATGTGAAAAATCATTGGTTAAGATCATAAAAACCAGAAATTAAAGCTCTTTTTTATATACAAATTAAAGTTTAGGTTTCTATTTTTCATAAACTGCACTCATTGTATCAGTGTCTACATCATTGAATCACCCGATTTGTCAGTAAACATCTCATCTCCACCATTACGAAAATCACTCTCAGACTCTGCTTCTATGAGAAGTTCTATCAAACAAAAGTCATCTCTTTGGACAGATTTCTCAAGAAGACTACCTCCTCCAAAAAGGCTGACCTTGTTGCAGAAGTTGCTAGAATGGTATTTGCAACCAACTTTCCATTTCCACTAGAAGAACATCCACAATTTTGCAAGATGGTTGGGAAGTTGAGGCCAGGATATACTCCTCCAACAAGACAAGAAATTGCAGACAAGTACCTTCCCATGATCTATGAAAAAGAATATGGAAAGTGTGCCAATGATCTTAAAAATAAAACAGTATGTCTTGCATTAGATGGATGGTCTAACATTCATAATGAGCCCATTATATGTGTTACTCTGACAACAATAGACACATCTGACCAACCCCATACTGCTGATTATCTTGAAGACCTTTCAAAATCTTCAATCCAGAAGTCTGAAGATTTTGGCTGTCATGTTGGTAGTGTCATGACAGATAATGCACCCGATGTCACCAAGAAGCGAAAACAATTAGAAGAATTAAGTGAACTGCACCTGCTGACCTCTCGATGTTCAGCACACATTCCAATCTTTTGGCTCACGCCTTGGAAACTGATAATGTAAAAGAGTATGTGGTTTATGTGGTAAAATATTTTAGGAGCAATCACTATGCCTCAGCATACCGTCAGGAGGGTGGTCAACGTCTTATCATGCCTCAGGACACTAGATGGAACACCATGTCCGACTGCCTGAAGATTTATATAAAAAACTGGCCAATTCTTATGAAAATCAGTGAAGTCGACAGGGAAAAGACTGATCAGGGAGTAAGAAACAAGGTGTCCAACCTTGTGGTGAAGCGGTCTGCAGAGGAACTACTCACTCGACTGGAGCCAATAGCTGAGGCTCAAGATAAGGTACAGAGTGACAAATGCACAATTGCTGAAGCAGTTGATATTTGGAAAGGATTATGCACATGCTTAGGAAACACTCGAGGAAGTGTCAAAACGAGTGAAAAAAGGTTCAACCAAGTTATCACCAAGGCTCACCTTCTTGCCAACATGGTCCACCTTTCTCTTCAAGGAAAGGCACTCAGTGAAGAAGTGAATATTGCAATGGAATATGACAATGAGAAATACCCCTCACTTATCCCCACCATCATGAAGTTTCAGGCAAAATCACCTCCTTTCCAGGCATTTAAGTTTAATGACACTGTGACCAAGACTGTATCAGCTATTGAATGGTTTTGGGCAGTGATATACTCTCAGCAGTACAACAACTCCTGTCAGCAGTAGCTTCATCTTCAGGTGTTGAACGAGTCTTCTCCTATGGACTTGTTCATTTGAAACTAAGGAATTGCCTTGGTACAGAAAAAGCAGCAAAACTTGTGTTTCTCTTTAAGTCTTTGAATGCACACACTGCTCATGGTTATGATAATGAAGATGCTTAAGCAAGTCAGAAATTGTTGTGTATTGTAAAAAAGTCTAAGACATTAGAAATGGATTTTTATACATACTAAATGTCATCTTGTATACAAAAGTACATATTGCGATTCAGTAAGTTTTGCTTAATTTTTCGAAACACAAATTAGAAGCAATTGATCAGTGCCTTTAATATTTATGTACAACTCCTACTTGTTTGAAGTATGAGTACAATACAAGAAAACATGTAGGCTGATACTCATCTGAAATTTGTGTTTGTTGTTTCAGTTAAAAAGCAAATATTGCAATTTTTTTTGTGAGAACACTGAATAGTGAACATTGCAAAAGTGAAGTTCCTTGTGGTTAATTATATAAGCTTCTGCAATAAGAGCATATTTTGTTTCTGTGTCTGATGTAAGCAGTGTTGTTTAGTTTTTTCTTCCTTGCCTTTACATTTGTGTAAAAGTCAAATTGTGACTTAAATCATAAATATACTTGATTTCAATCAAACAACCCCGTGCACTACCATTTATCTTCACCACCAACACTCCTCTACCACTACCACCAGGCCACATCTAGACTTTAATATAGGGCTTAACAACCTCCCTCCAATGGTTGGTGGTATAAATAGCTACGAGTGCAAACAGATGGTGGTGCCAACAGTTTGTAGTGCAAACGGTTAGTAGCACAAAGGGGTTGGTGGTACAAATGGTTGGGGGTGCAAATAGGTAGTCATACAGATTGTTGAAGGTTCAGTGTGTTAACAGTGAAGATCTGTACACTTATCACAAGACAAAAATAACAATCCCATTTTGCAAAGAACAAATTTATCTAAATGAACATACCGAACTGTATAAGGAATAAGTAAATATTAATGAATCACAAAGATCAACTCACCGGGGATTTGCCTAACCCCTCAGCCGACCTCCAGAGTAAAGTGGCTCCACACAAATCTATCAGCGTCCCATCTTGCAGGACATTGGTCTCTTCCTCAATCTGCTCAAGAATAATCAAGAATCAAACAAAAACACAGAGAACACAAAACAAATTTTATTTTAAGTACAGCAATTTTGGGGGGGCAATATAAACACAATAAGCTATAAACCGGGATTGTCAACAGTACTAATACGTGACGTATGTGGTCTCGGAATGTATTATAATACAGTACAACTTGGGAAATGCCGAGTTATATACAATTATCTAGGAATATCAAAGGGAAGAGGTCCAAGAAGTTGTGGCGGAAGGGTACATGGCGAGCACATCGAGCCCACCCAGCTTGGGGGTTTGGGTGGGGGGTGCTGTTAGTCCTCTAGATTTTGTATTTATTTGTTTTTTAAATCTGATCAATATCATGGGATTTTTCTGAAGAAAAGGGGGGTCCAGACCCCCAGGACCTTCCCTGGATCTGCCCCTGTACTGAATCTTTATCTTATTCTATAAGATACCTAGAGTTATGTACATTTATACTCACATTATATTAAGGCTTGTTCAAATAATGAGTCGATTAAAAAATGGGTCTTTTCAAAAGATGGGTTTGTTCAGAAGTCCAGTCCATTCAAAAGTTCAAAAAAAGTTGCAATTTAGATATTTTCAGAATTTCAGATAAAATAATCTTGAACTAAATTTGATTTGATGAGTGAGGTGAGACAGTGAATTAGTAAAGGTAAGGTAAAGGGACACAGGTAATTTGTATGTGAAAGGATTAGTGTTAATGACAAAGGTAATGTGTAGCAATTTCCTTTCAAGAAATTTCTCCATTGGCCATCTTGTTGTATAGTGGAGTATTTTATACTGATACAGAAAAACTTTGATAAGTCGGCACATATGGGGCTCTGGCCTTGCCGAGTTATCCCAAATTCCGACTTATCGAGGCACTTCCCCCCTCCTACAAAAATACAATAAAAAATTTTCGACCTATATACTGTATGTGTGTACATGTAATTACTAGATATCAAAAAGGAACACTTCCAGCACTGCATGTGAAGAATGAAGCATTGTAGTGGGTGAGAGGCATGGTAGGTGACACAGGTGATGGAGGGGAAAAGCTACATAAACAGTAGACAGTGCAGCACCTATGTATACTACTGTAATTTGGTCACTTAACAAAATAAAGAATAAATTTAAAAAATAATAATGGCTTTCTCTACGTATACCGTAGTACAGTAATTCAAGTCTGAGTATGTTAATAAACATGTAACTTATATCACTAAGGGTATTATAGTCCACCCTAGTAAAGTTTTCTTTATTACAGAGTAAAGGAGTAAATATTAAAATACAGTCGACCCTCGTTAATTCGGACCCCTTTAATCCGGATTTCGGATAAATTGGACGAAATCTGAACTGTCCATAGCAAATTTCTGGTTCTGGGATTGTCCCAGTTGCAATTGGGGTTGCAATTTCAAATTCTGTGTCATTACTAAGAAATAAAGAAGTCACTGGTGTACTGCACTCTAAGATTAAGAGAAAACATAAGAACATAAGAACATAAGAATGGAGGAAACTGCAGCGGGCCTATTGGCCCATACTGGGCAGTCCCGTTTACACCCAACCCCTATTGCTCATATGAGCATCCAACCTATGTTTGAAGCAATTCAGCTTATTCGAGTTAATGATGATATTTGGTAACTTGTTCCATTCATCCACTACTCTGTTTCCAAACCAGTGTTTACCTATTTCACTCCTAAATCTAAATTTGTCTAATTTAAAACCATTGTTACGAGTTCGCTCCTGGTTGGATAATTAGAGTACCTTTGTAATGTCCCCTTTGTTTAGCCCTGCCTTCCACTTATACACCTCTATCAGGTCGCCCCTCGCTCTACGTCTCTCAAGGGAGTGCAAATTAAGATGCTTTAACCTGTCTCTATACTCAAGGTTCCTAATGCCCGGGATTAGTCTTGTCATTCTCCTCTGAATTCTTTCCAAGGATTCTATATCCATTCTGTAATACGGTGACCAGAACTGAACTGAGTAATCCAGGTGTGGTCTCACAAGAGCAAGATACAGTTTTAGGATGACCTCGCTAGTCTTGTAACTAACACTCCTTTGTATGAACCCAAGTACTTTATTAGCCTTGTTACGAGCAAAAACACATTGTTTACTTGGCTTAAGGTTCCTACTTATCATTACTCCTAAATCTCTCTCGCAGTCGGATTTCTCTATGGCATCGTTGTTCATCTGGTATCTGGTTTCCCTGTTTACATCTCCTATACTGAGTACTTTACATTTGTCGACGTTGAATTTCATGTCATTTTTCAGACCACTCGAAAAATTTGTTTAGATCTTCCTGTAGTTTTGCCGAGTCCTCGTCAGATTTGATAACACGTCCTATTTTAGTGTCATCAGCAAATTTACTTATGTTGCTGTCTATGCCGATATCTATGTCGTTTATGTATATAATAAACAACAATGGTCCAAGTACTGAGCCTTGGGGAACTCCACTTATGACGTTGCTCCAATGGGACTTAGTGCCGTTAATGCTCACTCGCTGTTTCCTGTCCTGTAACAATGCCCTAATCCATTTAAGGATGTCACCTTTGATGCCATGAGCTTCTACCTTTCTAATTAGTCTTTCGTGGGGAACTCTGTCGAAGGCTTTGCTAAAGTCGAGATATACCACATCATAATTGTGCCCCTCGTCCACCGATTCGAAAACTGATGAAAAGAATGTTAATAGATTAGTTAGGCACGAACGTCCGCTTGTGAAGTCATGCTGGGAATCATTGATCAATCGGTGCTTCTCCAGGTGATTTCGAATAGAGTTTGAAATGATTGCTTCCAGTAATTTGCCTACTATTGATGTTAGACAGATTGGGCGGTAGTTAGAGGATAGTGATCTATCCCCCTTCTTGAAAATCGGTATTACATTCGCTATCCTCCAGGATTCTGGTACTACACCTGTTTTTAAGGACATGTTAAACAACGGACAACTCAGGCGTCCTGAAGTGAGAGAAAACGGACTCCTATGACGGGGCACTCAAATAAACATACACATAGCTGTATAATGCAATATTATGCAATATTAACCCCTAAATCGGTTAATTCGGACAATCGGCTAAAACGGACACCCTTTCCCCCCTATTAGTCCATTTTAACGAGGGTCGACTGTACTCAAATGTGGGGCATATAATTGACAGGATGGACAATATTTTGTCTGGTAATGGGAACAAACCCATCATCTGCCTTAGTGCAGGAGGCAATGATATTGGCCGGTGTAGGAACGATGAGCTTCTTGATAAGTTCAAGACAGCTATAGAATGTAATAGGACTAAGGGAAGGATCCCTATCATATGAGGTGTCCTGCCTAGAAGGAGAGTTGGCAATGAATGGTTGTCAAGGGCAATTGGTGTCAACGGCCGTCTTGACAGACATTGCAAGTCAATATCAGTCTCATTCATTGACAACTTGGACAACTTTTACGGCAGAAGGGAACTTTATGCTAGGGATGGGGTGCACCTGTCTCGGGATGGGGTGGCAACCCTGGCTGGGTCTCTGGAGGGGGCAATTCAAAAGATATCGAAGTCTTTAAACTACTAGAGGAACATATGGGCACAGGGGTGGAGGAGACTGCAGTGAGAGCGGGTAAACAAAGTGAAAGATTAAAGGCAAATAGTGTTAGGAATGATGACAAAACTAAATTAGACAGGGAGTTAAAACCTAAACGCGGTAAAGGGGGGACTCAGAACACGACTAACTTAAATGTCCAGTACGCAAAGAGTAGAAGTATGAGAAACAAAATGGATGATATTAGGGCCTTGGTATGTACCTAAAAAATCGATATAATAGCATTCACTGAAACAAGGATCAACCTAGACTCACGTGAGTTACCTGTCGAATACCAAATTGCGGGCTACAAATTGTTCCATACCGAAAGGCAGACCAGGAAAGGAGGCGGAGTAGCAATCTATGTCAGGGATAATCTGAAGTGTGAAATACATAAGGAAATAAAAACTGAGCGGAATACAGAGACAATTTGGATAGAATTAATCGACGGTAGGGAAAAATTAATCACAGGAGTAATATATAGACCTCCCAATCTTGATAGAGTTAGTGAGCGACTTATCTGCGATGAAATACGCAGGGCTTCCATACACAACAAAGTCTGTATAGTAGGCGACTTTAACCTTGGCCAAATAGATTGGACTGACCTTAAGGGTAACTCAGAATCAGAGGATTTTCTCGAAACGATCCAGGACTGTTTCCTAAGTCAACATATAACCGAACCCACCCGGGGTAATAATATAGTACTCGATTTAGTTCTGTCGAACAGAGAAAACCTCATTGCCAATGTCGAGGTAGGGAACGAACTTGCAAACTGCGATCACAAAGAAATAAGATTCCAGTTAGATTTTCAGGGCAGACGTAAGGAAAATTTCACAAAAGTCCCAGATTTGAGAAGGGCAAACTTTGATAGTTTGAAGAGGCAGCTGAGGGAAAGGGTGTCGCGCCTGGGGGGGGGGGAACCTGAGAGTTGACACCGACCTGATAACGAGATCTGAGATTGCTGAGTTCCACGACAATTTAAATAATGAGTTACTTAATGCACAAAGGCAGAACATACCATACAAAAAACTCAGATCAGACAACAATGACCCTTAATGTATAAATAATTATTTAAAGAACATTATTGGCCAAAGGAAGGCTATAGGTAGGATAAATCGTGGCAAAAATTTACCTTCGGGATTATTATAAGGTATTGGCGAGTAGGGTTAAGTCCGAGATAAAGAGAGCTAAGAGGAACAATGAAGTGAAGATTGCAAGGGAGGCAAAGACAAACCCCAAAGGATTCTACCAAATGTATCAAACTAAAACACAAGAAAAGATTGGATCAATACGGTCAGATACCGGCGAGCTAACTGATAACGACGGAGAAATGAGCAATAATCTGAATAAATATTTTTCAACAGTTTTCACCACCGAAAATTTAAACATGATACTCGAGGCACCGAATCTATTCAGAGATAGTGAAGAAAACAAATTAAGCGAGATAGTAGGTGACT